CTGAGGCACAGAGCTGATATTGGTGACTCTTCAGATATCAGCCTGACCCTAGCAACTGTGCATACAGACATCTCACAAAGCTGTCTCCCACTGGTCTCAAACACAGAACTCCATCTCCTTCTCCCCAACCAGCAGCCAACACAGACTCAAGGAGAGCCGGGGAGGCAGAGTGGAAAGAGCATGAACTGCCACACTTGGGTTTGAATCCCAACTCTAAATCCCAATAACAGATTTCCCTTGAGCAAATGATTTAACATCTCTGATGCTGTCTTCCTTAACTGTGAAATATGCAAATGGTGCTCACCTCCCACCTTCTAGAATTATCATGATGACACGGGTACATAAAAGATGTAAAGCTAGAGTTGCAGGACCATGTAAAATGAAGAAGTTATGATTTAGACTAGCCCTGCTAGTTTCTTGGCTTGGGAAAGTAAGCTAATTCATTATAATTTCCATTCTTGGTGGTTTTAAGGCACAGCCTCAATACTCTTTTGTAATACACCACTTTGGTTTGGCTAAGTAAGACACTTCAAAGAATATGTTTTACACATGTTTGAAACAAAGGCACTAAGGAATGTTGTGGGGAGATAGGAATCTCCTAAAGTCTAAGGAGCAAACAAAGTCTAATTAATTCACCATTAAAGAAAGCACAGAACACTTCCATTCATATTGCACAAATAAAATAAAACTCCTTCCAGAATCAAGGCACCAATGACATAGTGATCCTAATTTCAGCTTAGGATTTGAGAAAAGGTGACTTGAACAAGCTGAACAATTCTTTGACATGCACAGGTGTAGAAAACCTAAAGGAAACCTTGAAATCCAGAGTACGAGTTGGAAGAGGTTTGTGTCAATCTTAATTTAATCTAAGAAAACTAATCACGTTTGTAACTGAACAAGCCATGAACACACAAAATATGAAATTTTCTAAAGTGGAAACTTCTTTTGACAGGCTTTAACCTTGTCTATTTTTCTTGTGGTCTTCTGACATTTTTGCAGTACATGATCAAAGACCAGCCCAAGACTTTTACCCCCCAAATTTAGAAACAATTAGAAGAAGCAACTTAATTTATGGCTGCAAAGACCAAGTGCATTTTTCCTATGGCATAATTAAAACTAGGTTAATAGGAGAAAAGAATGAGAGGCAGAGAGGTTGTCTAAATATTATCGTGAAAAATGACAATCTACCTTGAAACAATTCTTCTACCATTTCTTTATTTAGCCATGTCCTCCATGTTTGCATTTAAAGAATATTCAGTGTCCAAGATAACAGGTTTTTCAGCCATCTCCTAGGTTAGTGTGCCAAATGCTACAGATGGAGATAAGTAGATCTGTGGTAATTTACTATTCTCTACAGCCAAAGGGCAAACGTATCTCCTGCCTTTACTTTAGCACTCTGGAGCCCGCTCTGCACTTATACTCTGGGCAGAGTTCCCACTGATAACCAGGGAGGCCTCACTGGTAGGATGCATGTGCAGAAAACTCCAGGCTACAGATCAGCAAGGAGAATTCAGTCCAGGCCCAGATGGGCATTCCAAACTGGGGGGTTGGGGGGAGCAAAAACAATATCAACAATTGGGAGAAATGCCCTGATTCTGCAAGTTCAGGATTTTCAAATCTTCCGGGAATTACATACTTATCTCTGATGTGCTCTGTGGTAGATGAGGCAAAGTAGCAACTAAGGGAATAGGGGCCACAAGAAAAAGAAAAAGAACTGAAGAAAATGATAGAAACGTCTGATTCTGTTCCAGAAAGTCACTCTTGCGAAGCTCATGGGGCATTAAGAAGAATGGTTTGTGTGCTTAGCTTGAGTTGGCTCAGCTGCATGGGGGAAAGAGGAACTAATTGTATAAACTCTACCAAGTGTCTGGTAGCCTGACATGTTTTTCCCCTTGTCCTTCCTACACTCACCCCTTCCCGCAGCCACAGTTTCAAACCCCACCTCCTCTAATCTCCTTTTAGCTCCTTTCTGGAGTGGAGAATGACATTCGTGCTGACTGTGTGACTACTTGGCAACTACATCGAAGCTGCACCATAATTGATTGTCTTCCAGTCAACACTTTGGGCCTTGGGCAAAGCTTGCCTGAGATGTGGCCCTGAACCCTGTCAGAGCACTGTAACTGCTAACACCTCGAACAGACACACCCCCAGCACACCGAATTCTCCAGCAGGCCATTTATCAGTTCCAACCGTTTCTATAGCCGACAAGTAAAGAAAGACATTTCTAAGTAAATGATTCAGTTATGCATGTCTTTCAACACTTTCTGTTTTGAATGGTGTTTTGGTAGGGTTTGTGGCATTTGATGGCCTTAAAACCACAAATGCCTGAAGTCCTTTTCTTTGAAATAATTTAGGCATTTTTTTTTTTCTAGCAAGCTTCAGAAAGTGCAATTACAAAGCATGCCTAAGGGATAGATCCTTCTAGGCACATAAAAATAACAATTTCTCCACACAAAAAAATCATCTTTCCCAGACACTCCATCCAGCTTTGGGAAACAGTGCTTCAGGCTGTCATGATCATGAAGGTCTGAGGGGCTTTATTCTTCCCAACTTGCTTATCCACCCTGAGAGTCCCCCCATAGTACTTCAATTTCCTTCCTTCCCCCCATTTAGAATCCTTCCTGAGCTCTTAGGATGAAGTAAACATTTCTGATGCGGCCTCAGGAATCCGTGTGATGTAAGCCCGTCTCTCTCCATTGCCAGTAAGCTCTCCATGTAGCATTATCCTGGGGTCTTAAACTGGCCATGTCCTCTCTTGCCACGGAACCTTCTCACAGGTTGTCACCACTGCCTGGGCTGAACTTCCGTCCTCCCAACCGCTACCATCATTGAACTTACCTTGGAGATCAAATAATCACTTTTAGCAGGCCTTTCCTGGCTCCGAAAATAAAGCAGACTCCTCCCCGAATTCTCCACAGGTAACCCTCTTTCTGCTCCAGTAGCTTTCGTCACACTTTACCTCCTTCCTCCAGAAAGAAACCCCTTGAGTACACAAACTGTGTCTGTTGCGTTCAGTGCTGTACTTAGCATTTAGCTCAGTACGTGGCACCAAGTAGCCCCTGTATTAGTCTCCTACCAAAACAAAATACCATAGACTGGTGGCTTCAACAACAAGAACATATTTTCTCACAGTTCTGGAGGCCGGAAGTCCACGATCAAGATGCCATCAGGGTTGGTTTCTGGTGAGGCCTCTCTTCCTGCTTTGTGAATAGCCTTCTTCCTGAGTCCTCCTGTGACCTTACCTCTCAGTATGCATGAGGGAGAGAGAGAGAGAGCTCTGCTGTCTCTTCCTTTTCTTAAGAGCTCAACCCTATCACATTAGGACCCCACTCTTATGATCCTTTTTAACCTTGATTACCTCCCAAAAGGCTCGACCGCTAAATACACTCACATTAGGGTTAGAGCTTTAACATACGAATTTGGGCAGGGAGTGGAGAAAGACACAATTCAGTCCATAACAGGCCTGGGAGACATATCTACTGAGTAAATGGCTAAATGAATGAATGGTTTCTCATTCGGAGTTTTTTTCTTACTAAGGAGATTGTTGGCTTGTGAAGGCAGAAACCCTGTCTTTCTCCCCCTCAGCACCCTCACAGAACCTGTTACATAGTACATATTTAATACATACTTGCTGGATTGAGTTTGGGTTCAAATATCAAGGCAAAGGTGCCCTGTGAGAATGCAAACATGTATGAGTCTGTGTGTATATTTGTATTTGTGGGTATTTTCATTACAAATAGAATATAATGTAATGATTTCCTTATGATCATACAGGAAACTAATTCTAAACTCCTAGGCAGACAGCAAGTAAGCTCCAGCTTAAAGATCAGTTAAAGAACAGAAGCAAATGAGCTGCTTGCAAATTCTGTGCTGCTTAATTCCTTTTCCCCTTATAGTGACAGTGCTTTCTCTGTGAAGCAATTTTCTTTTGATAAAAGGAGATCAGGTTCCCTGACCCCAGAAAGAAATGAATTAGTGATTTCTCTGCCTGAGAGTTGACAAACAGCCCTTACATCTCTCTTCCCTGGTCTCCAGCAGTGAAACAAATAGACTCTGAAAATAATCTTCTTTTTTTTTTTTTTTTTTTTTTTTAAAGAGGTTGGGGAACGAGAGAATTCCTGTAGAGTCAGACTTCTGGAAAAGTCTTCGTTTTGTTTTTCTTCATGAGGACATCAGTGCCCTGTTGTCCACACATACCTCATATGCAGAACCTCAAATGTGATTTCCCCAGCCAGCAGTGCTAGACTGGCTGCAAAGTGAGTGCCTTGTCTCCAGAGGCCCACACACCGGCACCTCTCCTCCATCACCTGCAGTTGTCATCCACACTCAGGGCTCTCCAGGCCTCTGAGAGCTCTGCTCAAATTTGCTGCTTCCTACTCGAATCTGGCAGGTATCTAGGCATGGTGAGAGAATATTTCCCTTTACGTAATCTGAATGTGCTTCTTTCTACCTTTATAGAAAAAGAGAGCAAGTGAAGAGTGAACCCAAGGGCTTCTATTAAACCAGCTGAATCCAAAGACCCTGTTAGGTTCTGCCTTCCCTCTGCCTCATCCCCTTCTTCAGTGGGTCCTCTTCATAAGATCAGGTTTCATGGATGACATTAAGCAAGACTTCTATGTGGTTGCTGCCAGTCTCAGAACTTTTAGATTCTTTCTGGCAGGTGCCTGTGTAGATTGACCCTTGCTTTGTTTGTAACTGATTTTTCTCAAGAAAAAGTGCATTAAAGAATAGGAATTAGCATATATTTGTAGAATATCTGGCTGAATACATTAAAAATCTAAATTGTAATAATAACAATAAGAAATAAATAAAAGGTCACATGATGTGATCATTTTAATACAGTAGCTCCTAAGACTGTTTATGAAAAGCACTGGGATCTACACAGATTTGCAAAAGTTTCATTCCACACACTGCAAACTCCTGAAATAAGACCCTTGACAAAAAACCTGGAGCACAAATCAGAAGCTTATTACGTCACACTTCACGTCTCCCAGTCTTACCTCCGATTCCCACGATAGCTGCGGCAGTTTGTGAGAGTTCCTGTGATAAGGTGTCATATCAAGTCCCTGCTGAGTGCCTGTAGCTTTCCGCCATGGAATTTTCCATCTCTAAGAATGTTCCAGTGTCACTCTATAGAACACTGGTATTGTTCAGGCGTCTATTTGCCACATATCCATCTGCCACCCGAAATAATAAGGCACTTAACATCCCCATCAGGTCGCCCTCAACAGGGAATTAAGACCAGTGAAGAAATTATTTCCCCTAACAATTCTTAGGTGGACAATTCTAAGAGGCATTCTATTTGCTCCTCCAAAGGATCTACCAGAATCAAACCTGTGGTGCCCATGGACGTAACCAGCTGATACTATTCTGTCATATTGACTTTCCTCCTTCCCTCTTTCCCTCTTCCCTGTACCTCACTCCTATTCCTGGACCAGGTTCTACCACTTATTAGGCAGGCATGGGACTTTGGTCAAATTACTTAACCTCTGTGTCCCTCAGTTGCATGATAAGTAAATAAGGGTAACACCAGCACCTACTACATTGAATTTAATGAGTTGATGGCTGCAAAGCATTTATAAGTGTCATGTACAATAATAAGAGCTCAACAAATATCAGCTAAAAAGAGAGGACATTCAAGTGAAAACAAGGAACTATGAAGAAACACAGCAGGTAGGAACCTGTCAGTTACTTCCTGTGGATAGAACCTAGGGCCATGGTGGAAAATGGGGGACATATGACTGGCAATACAACCCAGAGTTCATCAGGAACAGATCACAGAGGCTCTTGTAGGGTCTTATGCTAAGAAACTCAGCCTTTCTCCTGAAGGCAATATAAAAGTGTTGACAATTTTGATCAGGAAAATGGTGTGATCAGAATTCTGTTTTCAAAAGATCATTCTGGAGGGTGTAAGGTGATGGCTGGGAAGAAGTGAAATCTATCATGATGAATAAAATAGAGCCAAATTATACCCACACACTAGGTGATGGAGCAGGGCTGTAAGGTTCAGTTCATTTTCACCAGCTCTATTCTCCCAGTTGGTACATTACCTCTAAAGGAAAAGCTGATGAAATTTGGTGGTTTTTTTCACCCCAGTGCCATTTTCAGATGATGAAATAATGGCCTTGAGATATGTATCAGTACCTCTTGGTACTGTGACTAATTACTACAAAGTCAGTGGCTTAAAACCACACCATTTATTATTGTCTTGCAGTTTTGGAAGTCTGAAATGGGTTTCTCGGGGCTAAAATCAAGGTGTTGGCAAGGCTTGCTCCTCCTGGAGACTCCACAGGAGATTCCACTCTTTGCCTTTTCCGCCTTCTGTAGCCACACCCACTCCATGGCTTGTGGCTCCTTCTTGCACCTACCAAGCCAATAACCTGACATCTTCAGATCTCTCTTTAACTCTTACTCTGACACCCACTCTCCTGCCTCCCTTTTCACTTCTGAGGACCTTTGTGGGTACAGCTGGATAACCCAGGATAATCTCCTCATCTCACTTACTCACATCTGCAATGTCCCTTTAGCCATGTCAGGTAACCATATTTACAGATTCCAGGAATGAGGATGTAGACATTTGGGGAGGGTGATGTTCAGCCTACCACAGGATGTGAACAATAGGTAAATGTTTCTGCTATTTTTCTTTCAAGTGCCCCTGACGTTCATGTTTACTATCAGCTAATTCCACCCAAGCAGACCCCACTGCGTGTAAGGCTTGTAGAAGGGAAAGCAGGAGCCCCAGAGTCAGCTCAAGGGAGTTTATAAAGACAGAGTTTATAAAGGGAGTTTATAAAGACCCTGGTCAGGGTGGGAGATAGAGTGTGGAGAGAGACATTACCTAGCCTCATTGCTCCCAAAGTCTCTCCTCTAAGACTTTTACTGTTGGGCCAGGCAAGGTGGCTCATGCCTGTAATCCCAACACTTTGGGAGGCCAAGGCGGGTAGATCACGAGGTCAAGAGATCGAGATCATCCTGGTCAACATGGTGAAACCCCGTCTCTACTAAAAATACAAAAAATTAGCTGGGCATGGTGGTGTATGCCTGTAATCCCAGCTACTCGGGAGGCTGAGGCAGGAGAATTGCCTGAACCCAGGAAGTGGAGGTTGCGGTGAGCCGAGATCACGCCATTGCACTCCAGCCTGGGTAACAAGAGCGAAACTCCGTCTCAAAAAACTTTTACTGTTTAGGCATTTCCCATAAGATACTGACAACAACCCTTTCCATTTTGCAGATGGAAAAACTGATGCTGAGGGAATTCAAAGAACTCACCCAAGGTCATGGCAATTCCCTGGCTAAGCAAGCCCAGCAGCAGCCCCATTGGTAACATCTCTAAAGCACATTTGCTCCTATCAGGACTTAGTTCTTAAGTGTTTGAATTTATTCAGACCCTATACTGATGCATTTAGAATACAGCCCCATATCTAAAAATATATACAATTTTCACTTTAATTTAAGATGAGCTTAAAGTAATCACTATAATTTTCTTCCTGGTATTTATGAGTCATTTAATAAAAACTTGTTAGACTCTCAATGGTCCTATGCCTCGCTCCAGGCCCCTCGCTCCCCTAGTCCATCATTTCATGGCTGGCAAAGATCTCAAAACAGATCATCGTAGCTAAAATATCTAGGAGGTTTAAAAAACACTTTGCATATCTGTATTGTTGCCAGAATATATTAATATATAAAATATGCAAGTTTTCTGAGACCTTAGACGGAGGCCGCTTGTCTCCTCACTATTTCCTTTAGCTGTTTTCTTTGCCTTTCTCTCATCTCTAGCATAGAACATGAGGCTTTTCCAGCTATTATAAGCTAAGAGAGCTACTGAATTTACGTTCCCCTTATTGTGACATTCACAAATCCGTTTTAATAAACCCGGACACACCCCTGCCCCTATTGCTGCTTCTTTGATATCTGAGTAGAAGTTTTGCTGTGGAGCAAAATGTCTCAGTGTGAATCACCCCCCGAGGTGAAGCCAGTATTTGGAAGAATGACAGGGGCCATGGCAGAGGCCGTTCTGTACATTTTGAGAGAAATCATATCACTGCTACATCAATTAGGCTCTTGTTTCCATCATGTGGAGAACCAGGAGGTAGAGCAAATCAGCCAGCTTTCCAGAGTATGTTGTTCTTCTGAGAAGCTGTTCAAAGTTATACTTTTTTGCTTTTTAGTTTGTTATAATGTTTGTCCAACTAGAAGATGAGCTATAAGAACTCAGCTGAGTTGGAACAAATAAAATGTCCTTTGTGGTCCTCTCCTGGTTCTCTGTGGGGAGCTGGGACAGCAACAAGGTGATCAAATGTACTCCGTACCAGAGAAAGGACATGCTTAAGACTGAAAGGAATCTGTTGACAAAAGAGAAAAAACACGTCAACCAATTTTTCTTTATAAAAAGAAGAGATAATTGATCTTTTTCCCACAACCCTTAGGGACCATGGAGAAATAGGACAAAAATTGTCATATTACTACTTGCACTTGCCAGAAGTCAGGGTCTGAGCATTATTCTTCCAGGAACTCTGGGTGCCTCAAAGGTTGCCAACGATCCATAAATGTTAGCTTAATAGGATCGAATTAAATTGTACTGAATTACATATATTGAAAACAGAGCCAGTTCTACATGACAATGGCATTACTGAGATATAATCTGTTTGAGGGTTTGAGGATAATCTTGCATGGCTGTTCCATATTGCATTCAAATGTTCAATTCTACCAGTATTGAGCTCTAAGAGATTATAGATTCTGAGAACCAGAAACCACACCCAGAGAACAAGAAAGCAACTGCTTACTCCAATTTAAAAAAAAACTGACCAGGAGCACCACCACCACCACCACAATATGACTTCTACCTCTCCTGCCTGCACCAATGGGATTTATCTCCCACCAGCCTTCAGGGGTCTTTCGGCCAAATACTTTTTAAATGCTTTAAGCCTATGAAACAATCAGAGAGATAGAGAATAATACAGACACACACATACACACGCCAGCACCATTGTATCATGCAAAGGTGGAAGGGCCAAATTTAAATTTTGTTTTTCTCCCATGATCCAAGTTTTACGATGTGCCAGTTTGACGGCATGACATTTTTCAGACAGAACTCATCCTTGGGCCAAATACACTTGGGCCAATAAAATCGAATGGACCAACCACTTTTGATGTCTCCTACATTTTAAGTCAGAAAATCAGGCCAGAGCAAATTCGTCAAGAAGATGACCTTAGTCTACTGAGTGCTTACTGTGTAGAAGTGTTAATCTCTGCACTGTTGAAAAGTTATCAAAGAACTAGAGGAGAAATTCTCTCCTATGTGGTATCACGGGGCAAATGGAGCCCTGGAATTGGAGCAAGAACACATGGCTCACCCTCCCTCATTATCAGATAGATCATCTCAATCTATTTTATTTAACATTAATTCTACTCAACTAAAATTACACTTAAAAGTGTGATAAAGATCAAATTACAAGAGAAATGAAGTTTGAGAGCACACTGAAAACTGTAGAGTACATGTGAATGACAGTGTTTTAATATTTTTAAAACCCAAGTTGGGAGACAATCCAAATATACCATATTGTGAACACTTGGAGGGCTAAAATTGTGTCATATTCCCTGATGTGTCCCCAGTGCATAACACAGTTTCTATAACTTATAACTATTTGATCGAAAAAATGGATGAGTATTTAATTAATAAGTGGTGTGACAGTAGTTACAAATAAAGTATTATAGGTACAAAAATGGCACAAATAGTACAAATAAGTTGTGAGCGCGTGATCTTGAAGATAGTTCCTGAAGGGGACAATGAAAATGGAAAGGAAGAACGTGATGGGGTGAAGGAAGAAAGGGAAGTGCAGGTGGGAAAATGGCGCTGAATGGATTTTAGAATGAATACGTGTGCTGGAGGTGGAAGAGGGACAGGCTTGCCTGGAGCAGAAAGGCTGACTTAAGAGAAATGAAAGATGAAGTTTTCAAAATCATAGAAATGGGAAAGAGGATAGTGTAGGGTTAGGTGATGGAGAGCCGTAAATCCCCAAGTGAAGCATTCTCTGTTGTTGGTTGGATTAGACACAGAAATCAACAGTGTGTAATAAATATTTAATGAAGCTCACAATCTAGCAGTGCAATTGTTCAAATAAGTTACTAGTGATGAGGAGCTGGATACAAGCCCTAAGGAGGCAATTGAAA